GTCTCACACATCATTCTGTTGTCTTGGTTTACTCAGAGCCCGGGTTACTGAGCTTAGGGAGAGACTGATTGCAAAAGACTTGCACCCGTTACCGTGTTCCCTGTTGTGGCACAAGGGGGCATGAATATGGCAGTGGGTGCAGTGTGGGTGGGAGTCTTGCATTCTAAGTGACTGTTGAGCCTGAGAACCTCGAAAGGTGGGCTGGCCCTGATAGATGCAGCCTCAGGAAGTTTAGCAACGAGAGGAGTGTGGTAACCTACAGTCTAAAGCAGTCCTGTCCTTTGACATTAGATCCTGCTTTCTAGTATTCTCGTTCCTTCTAAATAACTGCTAAGAGTGTATTATACCTCTAGCCCCTGGATTTCTGGGCCCTGTAGCCTGTCAGTAGTGATGCTTCTTGACATCATTCTCCTCTCGTTCTCCTTCACGTGTTAGTGAAGTGCAAGAGGGCAAGAGGCCTGATTACTTTTCTCACAGGGAACACGCTTTCCTCGGTTCCTTTTTTCTCTGTCAGTGAGGGTGAGTCCCATTTCTTAGATTATCACATGTGGGTTCAGTTTTTTTTCCAGTTCTTCTAGCGATACATCCAAACTCCCTCATATGTAGAGTTGGCCAAAGAAGTGATGGTCCTGCTGAACTGTTCCTTCCAGTGACCTTCCCTTAGCAAAGAGCCTGGCTGTACCCCCCTCCACTTCCCTGCACCTTCCCTGGCAGTTATACAACTCCAGTGTACTCTGTAAGTTCTAACCCTGTCTGCCATCCTTTCTTACCTGAGCTTCGAGGAGAATCAGGATGGGCTGGGTTGGGGTACAGTGGAGGTGGAGAGTAATCTCCCTAGAGGGGTTATGCAGGGATATGATAAGTTTAAGCTGAGACCTGTAGGAAGAAGAGAAGCAGCCCTGTGGCGCTATGCTGAGGCATAGGAGCGGAGGCCTACAGTGGGTGAGAAAAAGGCTCAGGAGTTGGGTAGCATGCCCATGGTCATAGAACTAGTATGTAATAGCACCAGAATTCAAATTCAAAGCTATGCAGAGCCTCCAGAGGCTGAGATTTTTGTCTTTTATTCACTCCTGAGCTTCTAGAACAGCCAGTGGCACATAGTAGGCACTTCTTATTTCTTTGTCACTGTCGTCTATCCATTCAACTCTTTTATAACCTCAGTACAC